TTATGCAATAAAAATATTCTTTTATTTCAAAAACTTAATAGTTATACTAAATTAATATCTCTATTATTTTATTTTATGTATTCGTTTATTAATCAGATTACAAACAACTTACATGTATATTTTTTTTGTAGACGAAATCTTCGGAATACCTGACAATTATTAGTGGCTTCATCGACTAAAATGATGATGCACAATCGATTTTATACGCTGTTTTAAAATATGTGTGCTATTTTTGATACAAAAAGTAATTATAAATAATCATTTGTTATCATTTTATTTTACTTATACAAGGTATCATATGCAAGTGTAAAGCATTTATTAAATGTGTATTATATAGTAGGGTAAAATCTTATTTATTTGCTTTAGTTGGCATACATTTCGTATATATAGAGAAGTAAAGTTAGATTGTATTAAGCCTACCAAAATCTGCTAATTAAAATGTTTTATAGTATTTAAATGTTGAAATAATATTTCCTGTTTGAATGTAAATAAGTGTTATTATACAAAAAGAAAAACTATTAGCATTAAATGAAACTTTCCTGTTACCTACTAATTAAATCAGTTGTATTTTATTTTGTTAAGATGTGGGTTTTTGGTTGATTCAGTTAGCGCATCAAATATTGAGTTTATTATCATTAATAGAAGTTTCTCATTAATATAAATACAAAAAAACGTATTTCTAAAGGTCTTGTTATTACCAGACTGTTTACCGCTTTCTTCTTCAGAACGTTTAAAATCCCGAAGAAGGCAACGGTATGACTCTCGAAACGTTTACTTCTGACGTGACAAACAGCCTAAAAATAACAACATTATTAATGGAAGCCTACAAATTAAATTAACGTATTTTTAAATGTCTGGATGTTGTGAAAAAAATTTTTTGATTCTTTTCTAAAAGTAGCAACTTTTCTCGATAACAAGTGATATGATCCTTAAAAAAACGGTAAATTTTATAAAATGAGACATATTTTTAATAATTATAATGGAAAATAATCAAACTAAATTAAACAATAAAATGATGAAAATTTATGGGTGACGCTACTTATAGATAAAATAAAGAGAACGATAATTACAAGTTTATTAAAAGGCGCCAAAACTAGATAATCTGGCGTCCTCCTCTGTTGTTAAGATGCGAAATAATAAGATCATAAACAAAAATATTGTTTTACTGATTATTTAACGGTTATTCCATTTTTACGATACTGACTGAAATAGTAAATAAAATATGTATATTTAGTCAGCTCGATCCTTAATGTATTTTTTCCTTTGTTTGGTTTTTAAAAGTTGCATAATCTAATTGCTTACGTTTTCGTCTATAATACGCAATTGTAATTTGTAATTGACGAAGAAAGAATATCGTTCAAATAAGTAGTTATGTATTTCCTTATTTCTGCATATCATATCATCATTCAAGTAATTCCTATTGAGAATAACAATAATTACGAATAAGCTGATTGCGTCCATATACTCCAGTAGACTATTTTTCTTTTCTTCTGAACACGTTCTAAGTAGTTTTGTAATTTAACATTTATTTGGTAGTTTGTAAATTCTTAAAAACTAACTGCAAATAGAAAATGAAGTTGTGTTAGTAATAAATATGTTTAATAGGACTTTTTGCTTTTACAATAAATTAAAGGAAGCGAAATAAATGGATGAAAGGGTAATTACACCTTATGTATATTCAGCAGTATTTCCTGGTCAGGTAATTTTATTATGCTGGTATATTTTGTACCTTCCTATAAAGAATAAACAGTTTTTCATCAGCAATTGTATATGTACGCTTAGAATTCTCCACAATGAAACTGACATGCAAGTTCGTAAAATATTACCTATTATTGTTCTTTATAATATTTTAAAATCTAAACACATATTCAAACACTATTTAAAGTCGCGATAATTTCTTTATTGCGAATCAAATGAACGTACTTTCAAATTTAAAAAATCTGAAAAAGGACATTAAAAGTGGATAACTTTTCTTATGAAACTAATTCCTGCAATAATTAGTGATAGAAGTAGTTTAATAAATAAATACACAAACATGTATTTCACGTCAATATTTTAATGCATTAGTCTTATGTAAACAAAATCTATTTGTTATTTGCGGGGGTTACGATTATGATAATAAACAGGGTGCAAAGTGTATGTAATCTTTGTTTAGTGAATTGACCATTTATGGGTAAATATGAAACGTATATGTACACCGACACTAAATATAAAATATACCGACAATGATCTAGCGGTCGTTATCAAATTAATTAACACTGTAATTTATAACTATAAGAAAATAGAACATTATTTATTACATAAACTATAAATGGATTATTTAACGTTACAGTTAGATACAATCAAGAGTGATTATCATAACAACGCAAGACATTTTAACAAACAATTCTACCAATGAAATGTGGAAACTTTTCGGTATTCCTTATTGCAGTAGCTGAAGGGAGCCTTTCGCCCTATCGTGTAGGCTACAAGGATTGGAGAGACTGTCCGCCAACCAACACTAGTGGGAATGAAACACGCAAAAGTTGTTCAATATTTAAAAGACGTTAGAAATATTTTAACTGAAAAATATTTATATTTAAAATGCATTAAACTCTTTGTAAAAACATTTTATTAATAATAAAAATAACATTCAATGTAAAAAAGGACAACAAAGGTTATGGCTGCCAAAAAATATCACAACAAAAACAGACAGGAACAACACAAATTTTAGAGAGCTTCTTATGAAGGAATGCTATTTCAAAAAGAATATAAACATTTCTTAAAAAATAAATAAAAAATCCTATGAATTACTTTTTGCTGCTTGAAGCGTAAGAAGGAACTCATAAATTAACATTGTAAATGTGATTATTTCGTAAATTATGAACTATTCCCTTAACATGATAATTAGGGTCCCAAATTAAAAAATATTATTTTCACGGTATAATTAAAGGAAGCATTTTTTCAAAAGCATATTAAAGACAAATTATACTTTTTGAAAGCGTGTTATAAGATTTCGTTAATTCTGTATTTTTAAAGTTGAACCAAGAACAACTTCAGATATATTCATTGCCCTACAAGATGTTTTTGCGTTTTGGGGTATTTTCTTTATCAATAACTTAAATTGTTTAAGTATGATTTTAGAATAGAAATATTCCATATTTCGATAAATATTCTGCATAAATTTAAGCCGCTAGCTACCTAAGCAAACTGTTGTAAATATACGTACAGAAACGCAGTGAGGGAGTTATGTATTTTTTTTTACTGCAACCAAAAATTATTTTTTTGACGAAATTTAATCTTTATACCGAATTAATTAAATTGGATATATAATTAAGAACAGCTTGTTCTTTTAGAATTCCCATATGGTCGACTTTAGGAAAGGCTTGGTAGTGAACTGGTTGAGATTGCATTTTGCTCCAACGTAAACAACCTTCCAAAGATCTTCGATTAACAGTTCCATCTCCATCTCCGTTTATTAAAGTGGGGTAACCATCGAGCCATGTCCCTGGTTTATAATACAATCTGAAATTAATGTATCAATTTTTAAAAATTAGCTCAGACGTTTTTAATTCGAATTTTCATAAAAATCAGATGTTTGCAAATACTTATGTTAAAATAATTTTTGTTTTTTACTAATTAGGTAAAAATAAAATTAGTTGTATAATTTTTTATGATTACAGTATATCTAGTAGACAACATTAAAAAAAAAGTTACACATTACTTTTCGTATTTTTTAGTTTTATATCTTACTTAATAAGAAACAACAAACAAATAACGTGTTACAAGTTCATCTAATTTAAAATACTGGATAGAATTATATCATTCGCATACTATAAAAAGAAAATACGAAATGGGAATTATATTTTCATATTTGATGATAACGTATGATAGTTTTAAAATAATACATATTACAAATAGTACCTTTCTACGGTAGTAATATTAACTCCAAAAAGACAGTGGACTTCGACACCTGGCGCTATGTTCCCTTGTTGATATGGTAATGTGTCTTTTCTCATTTCCCAACCAATCGGAAAATTTAAACTTCTAAAATAAAGAAAAAAAAAAGAATGAATCAGAAGAATTGCTTTTATGTTGAGAAATATAAGTGATTACCTAAAATATTCCTCAATATTTGATAGAGAAAAATTTTTCTTTGACGTTTGTACTAGTACCTCATCCTTATCCCAAAAATATTGATTTGGTAGCATCCACGAAAGACTAGGACTAGTAATTTGCTCTTGTTTCATTACACTTTCTCGTAAAGCATAAGATCCTAAATCATCTCCTGTAATATATATAACAGGTAAGTATTTTGTATTATATATTATAAAAACATATTTCTGAATGTTCAACAACTGTGTGTACGTTATTTACCTAGCTGTAGGTATTAATGATTTTGATTAATAAACATTTTCTACTTATTTATGATATTGTTTACTGTAACAATTTGTGACTTCAGTTTATCTGCTCATCATTAATACTAATAATTTTATTTTTTACCCATAATGACGATTGACGAACTCCTTGTGACCTATAATAATATTTACTACTATGAAATCGTCATTAAAAGAGTAAATAACGTATATTCAACAGCTAGGGTGGTTAATTTGTTAATAACATACACTAGTGTATTTTAAGATATGACATAGTTAGGGCATTCGTAGAAATATATATGAATATATACATATATATTTATACATTATTACATTTTTAAATGCAATATCTCTACATTGTTTGCATTTAATCTAGACATATACATTACTTTTATTGCATATTTATTTAAATTAACATTGGTCGCTGAAAAGAGGTAACAATGCAGTTTTTAATTGTGATAGTTATAACAAAGACGTATAAGATAGTGACAAAGTATTTTTAAATTATTAGGATTTTTAAATAAAAAAAATCAAAATATTCTAGCACAGAATTACTGCCACAAAAAATGCAACTTTTTAGAGCTATTAATAAAGTATAGAATGCTTTTTTACCTATTGCATACACTTTTACTGCCTTTACTGAACCTCCCCATGCCCCTGCAAGGGTGATTAAACATTTAATGTATTTATCTTTCCAACTTTGCTTTTGTCGACTTAAAAGCTGAAGAGACATCGGACCACCCATTGAATGGGCAATTAACATGACCGATTGATTACCATTTTCGTCATAAGCTGTTTCAATAAGATTCTTCAAATTTTCAAAATATTCTTGGTTTTCATCTGCACAATAGGTTTCTTTTTATGAAAAATTTATATACAAAAATTACAACCCACTTACTTGGCGCTTTTCGAAAATCATAGGGAGCTCCTTTAATCGTTATATTGCGTTCATGTCCCAATTTTACTAGAATATCGCCTATATATTTAAAGTATGCTCCAGTTGATGCATGGCTTGGATCAAGCCATTCCACTGTTTCTGACGATCCAAATCCAGGAATGCGTGTTTCCACTCCAGGTTGATTGAACGTTTTTCTTGTAACATTATCATAATTAAGTTTAACGTTATCAACCCAGCAATCTATTACTAGAGGCACTAACAACTCTAAGTTCAGCCATATGTTAAAGAAACCAGAGGTTGACTTTTCACAAACATAATGAACAACACTGGACTTATTTAACTTAGCTTCTAATTGTGACCCACCGTCACCTGGGATGAAAACTATAGGATTTAAAGTACATGATGTGATTCCAAAAAATATAAAATATATGCAAAATGTGAGGTTATAATTTATTTTCATTCTAGAAATTATTCGCTAAAAACAACTCGTAACGTCGTTTCAAAAATAGCAACTGATAGCAGCTTAATTAACAGTGAAAGAATATGTAGTTATATTCTTATATGATATAAACGTCATTGTGACGCGCTAATTTGATAATTATTACAATATACAACAGCAATCCCTTTCTTGTTTTGTTTACTGTATACAAGTTGTTTATTTTTTATTTCACAATTCCACAAGCCAAAAGATCACAGTCCACATTGATCAGACTGTAGATAATAGGATCAGACGATATATGCATATACGCTATGATCCTAACTAATGATCATCTAATGATCATGCTGTGAAATAACACCTTGTCTATGGAAAGTACGTACCCATATTTACGTTATTTTTATGCGTGTTTTTATTTGCATTATTATCACAACTTATTTTTCTTTTTTATTTTTCTTACCAAAGAAAAACTAAGTATAGAAGCAGAGAACATATAAGTATGGTATAAGCGTATAAGTATTGTCTATAATACTAAACGCTGTTGTCTAACAAAATTATAATCAGTAAAATTTCAAAATACCAGAGGCCAAAAACATTCCTGAAATAATTTTAAATAATTTGTAATTAGTAGTTACTTAGGTGGATCTGCACTGTATGTAGATATTTATTGCTGATATTCATATCAGGAGTTTACCTATGGATTTAAAAACTTTTGAAAACCGTTTCAAATTGGAAATAGATGAATTTCTTAATAACGTATATTCAGTTTATAATGTCAAATTAATTTAATTTTTAGTATTTTACGTAAGTATTTAACGTAGAATAATGAACCTTTAATCATAACTATATCTGATAAGGCCCTTAATTTATTATTTGTATTTAACTGTTTCTCTTACATAAGTATTGTCAAATGCCATTAAATTCTCTACCTAATCTATGGTTCTACAAACTTTCTTGTCTATGAGTACGTCCTTACGTATGAAAATTTACTTATCTATAGTCTTCTTGGATAGATTAAGCTGGATTAAGTGAGATCAGTAAGTTATTCAGCCAAAAAATACGCTCAATCAGGTTTATGGGATGGTCGTCATAGACAAACGGTCGTGTATCACATCGACGTTTACTAATGGACATGCCTTAGCGGTCAAAATTGTGGTACAAAAGAAAGAGATGGAACAAAGTTTCGGACAAAATCCATCTATCTCACCATAGTGCGTAAGTGTGTCATGAAAGACAAAGCATTAGTCCGAAACTATACGCCATCTCCCTCAATTTTCGAGCCAAGAAATTATTACAATGACATACGGCTAAGGCACGTCCATTAATATATGTCTATGGTGTATCATAACTTATGTCCATAGATAAGAGATATATACAGTCGGTCGTATGTACTATATATCTCTTATTCATGATTATGTGAAGTATTAGTAATTGCGTAGGGTTCCTAACTGTATTTTTCGCCCTGCCATCTAGATACAGTAATAATGCACTATTATCACATTTACCAGCGAAGATAGATATTACAGACTCTGATCGCTGTTGTTACCTACTTGGTACATGGTAATACCAGCAGATGGTAGCATATTAAAGAAATTTTGTCTCAATATTAAACATTTATAATGTAAGTTATTAATTTTATCTACTTGATTAATAAAATTTTTTTTTTTACTATCTGCTTTAATAAGAATCATCAGAGCTGATTAGGGGCGTGAAAAGGTGTGTTAGAATAAAACCTACACCTATGTTTCGCCTCTGGTTTTTTTTTCAAGGTGGGTTTTTTAATATTCGTCGTGGTGTGTGGTACATGAATCCTCAAAAAACATAATATCACAAAACACATAGATAAAGTAATAAATATTACAAACAGTTCTCTACATTGTTTTAATTATTATTTTATCTATACTTATGTTTTGTGATATCAAGTCTTTTAGGTACCTTGAAAAAATCTCAAACCAAAGGTGAAACGTTGGTATAGGTTTAATTCTAATAAATCTTTTACGCTCTTAATCAGCTGTAATTATCATATTCAATCAGAAGAAGAAATCAAGTGACGAAAGCATCACCATTAAATTTAAATTTGTCTTCAAAAACATAATGTCTTACTTCATCCCTTTCTTTCATAAATATTTTTTTAGTAATCTTGGTCTTGACCGCAAAAAAATCTAGTAACCGCCCAACTTTGAGATAAGTCTACATCCAAATTCAATTTTTTTATTGCTCAGTCTAATACTTTTGAGATTATGAATATTATAAATAAATTAAAAACAAAAAATGGAGGTGTTGACAATATTAATTCGAAAGTTATTAAACATTTATCTAAATACTTGATTGAATTACTTGTTCATATTATAAACCTATGTATCGTTGACCTGATGCACCAAAGCAAGCGGACATTAAACCTATACATAAGAATAAAGAAAAATATCTACACTAACTACCACCTGATCTTCATGATATCAAATATCGCTAAGATCTTTAAAAAAATTATTTATAAAAGGATTTTGGATTTTATAAAAAAGTAGTATGATTTCTTAGAAAAACTAAGGACTAATCATTTCCTTACTTATTTATCAAATCTTATATGCGACCAAATAGATAAATAAGTGAATCAGGCTTATGAAAGTCTACCTAGAATCATAAGTAAAACTTAAAATCGTCATAATATATAGGGTGTTCCATTTATAACGAAGTTGATGTCAACTTCCGGTATAAGCGGAAGTGCTACATAGGTGCCGTTATTTTAATTTAGTAGTTAGTTAGTTAGTACTTTATTTTAGATGATTTGATTTCTCTGATTAAGATTAAGATATATTATACAAAAAAGGGTGGTTGTAAGTGTTTTTGCGTAAAATACTTTGACACAGCGTACTTTTGTTTTTACCTTAAATAACCAACGTCCTTTATTTATATAAAAAAAGTGGCAACCCTAAGCATATCCCTTAACGCCACTCTACAAATTTTTGAAATTTTAAATGGAAATGGTTTCCTAAATATTCCGTGAGACATCCTGTATATACATACGTATGCGCGTTATAACAATTTAAAGGGTATGCACTTTTGACTTTAATTTAAAAGTCGCATACAGATATTATATAATCATCTTCAGTGGATGGACAGCATTTAATAACAATTTAAAAAAATGTGTAGAAGCTGTTACACACATCCAAAAACTTGAATAAAAAACGGTATACTATCTATGTACGTATTACTATAATGAAAAGAAAAATACTTATCTATATTATAAGATCGTAGATACGTAACGATATAACAGGGGGTGAAATGAGGTTTGCCACGCGTACTTTATTATAAAGTATTGTACTCTATTTCGACTGTGCGTACGTTATACTTTACAAGACACATAAAGTACGCAAAAATATTTTATTTAGGGCCTTAAGTAAACATCGTAATTTTGTAAGCGATTATTCGAAATTCAGAGTACTTTTACATCAATAATATTGCACAGAAAAATGGCAAGCCATATTTACAGAACAACCTGATTTCCCAAATCTGTTCAAAGTAGTNACGCTTAACGTAAATAAATTAATTTTGAACATGGGGATCATTTTGGGGGGGCCAATAGGAAATTAAGTAAAAAAGTATTGCAAACGGTACCGTGTGACATATCAAATGGAAGGGCTTGTTGTAAGCGTCTCAAATATAGTTTTTATAATTTTAAAATAAATAGTTTTAAAGTTATTTAAGAAAACAGATGAAAATTGACTATTCCCCCTTCTCCTTAAGTCCGAAACTACTGAATCTAAAATTTTGAAAAAAATACAAAAACTAGTTCTTTATCTACAGATTATAGGAAACTTAATGAGAAGCCTGTAGTCTGAACATAACGTGGTAAATCTTTCAATAAAACAATATTATGCATACAAATTTACACTTGCAATTTGAATGTTTTTGTTCAACTACAATGGTTTTCGGGTTGGGGTTCCATACGTCCGAATGAAAAACGGAACCCTTGTAGGATAACTCGTACGTCTGTCTGTTTGTTTTTTTATATTAAGTTTAGTTAGGAAGATTTCTCTTCATTGAAATTAAAATACCTACACTACTTACTGGAGAAATCTATCTAGATAACTTTTATCACAGCCGTCTTTAATACAAGCCATGCTGAGAAATTTGGCAACATCGCATTGCTTCGATGTGAGAGTCCTATTCTGCGAGTCTTATTGCTACAGAACCGTTTTTGACCCCTTCTCGAGTAAAAGTAAACTAATAATAGTTTTATGTGTAAGACCCCTGACACCTTATTGAAGTTGAATTCTTAATTCAAAATCTTGATTGCATATTTTTACTTAGGAATCGTGATAACCTTCTCAACGACTGCAGGATATCATCCTTAAATTCGATCCAAAGGTCATTCAAGTTTGAATTAACTGATAATATCAATCTTCTTTTCATACTCAGACACAGGTAGCACTGAAGGTTTAGCCTGATCTGCAAATGGACTCTGCACTCAGCAACTGTCTTGTAATTCCTTTGGAAAATAATCTTGTAAGGATTTTTTAAGGTTCAATAGATATTTATTTATGGTTTTACCCACATCTGACGTTACCATGACCATTTGCTTTGAGAAATCTAGTTATTAGAAGAGGAAAACATTCGTAACTTTTTTGTTCAGCACATTCAGTCCAGATTCCAAATTTGCTTTAGTTGGAGTTCTTCACTGTAAGGATCTGCTAATTACGTTGAGTTTGTTGAATATTTCGGCCAAATAAACCAATTTCATTAGCCATTCCTCGTCATTCAGTAGTTCGACATGACTAACGGACGTAAAAATTGGTTGTCCAACTTTTCCTCTCGAAAGCCATCTCAGTTCCGGGCGTAGAAGGAGTGATTAATGCTGACTTCTCATATCTTCACATGCTTTTTTAAAAAGCCTTGACTGCAATATATCTGTTGCTAATAACATTCTCTGACAACAATAGCTACATTTAAAAATTGCGGTAAATATTTAAATACATAAATAAATCACATGCTTTGCGTGATCAGAGAAGGTGTATACGCATACAATAATGGTAATAAATAAACAAACATAATGATCGAGGAAACAAGAATCAACCAAGGGGGCATCCATTAATTACATGAGCTCTTTTTCGATCATTTTAGACTATTCCCCCCCCTTAGGTGAGATTTGCCAGGACCCCCTCCCCTTACGTGAGATTGACGCTATAAATATTTTAAACTTAATTTATTTTTATTATTCGGGAAAATAATAAATCGTTGAGGTATATTATAGTTAATTTATTTAAATTAAAAAAAATTGAAAGTAAAAACAGATTACAACATTTTTTTTTATATTTTACTCAATCCATGGAAACTCGTGTACTTTTTCAATGGAAACAGTTGGACCATTTTGTCACCATTTTCTTTTTTTTTTCACATTACTCTCGTACTACATGATATTAATAGCCATGAAATTTATTTTAGCGGGCAAAATATTTTTTTTTAATATTTTTTGAAGTTGAC